TTTTTGAGCGAAGGAACTAAGGAAAGTGCGAAGTGGACGTCTTCGTCGTCGGTATTTCTTGAACTCAAATTGTTGAGTAAAGATTCCTCGAAAGGCTGCTGCTTGTTCCTTGTTTCTTCCCTGGAAGATTGTGCTCTGTTTTCAGCCTCGTTTACGTGGTCGATTCCCTCTTCTTTATCGCCATCGTCATCTGATATTACATTTGTTTCCGTTGACTTAGATTCCATTGTGGGAAGTAAAAATAACAATTTTTCAAAATACATGTATTTCCTCCTCTTCGATGCTGATTGGCCGGACTTGGTCTGTTTCTGGGCGCGAAGCTCTCTGCTAAAACCTGATCTTAAGGTCTGCCACCTCTTTTGTATGTCTCGACCTAGAAATAATGACAATATTTAATATAATACAAGTTTATAATACGACCCTACTATTTTATGTTACGTTGTACGTGTAGGTCTATTATGTTCTGTGATGTGATAGTATTTGTATTGTATTATGACCATATTCTAGACTTGTCCCATTTTTTTCCTTCAGATATTTGGCAAACCGTCGCAAGCTTCAATTCGCTGTCCTTTGAGTTCTTAATTGCAACCTTCAACGTTAAGGTTGATAATCAAATGCGCCCGCGCCAACATTTGGAGTATTTTACAACCGCTCTATATACCAGTAAAACATAAAAGAAGAAGATTGGATTAAAATAGCTGATCAATTCTAGCAAAGAACCAGGTTTCCCAATGTAATAGGTGCCATTGATGGAAAGCATAATCGCATTATCAAACCTCCTGCAAGTGGATCAACATTTTACAATTATAAAAAGTATTTTTCGCAGGTGTTAATGACATGGACTGATGCAGATTACAAAGCTTTTGGGTTATCAAAACACGTCCTGAGGCGATATGCAAAGAAAAAGTTGACAGTGCTCAAAAGAATATATAATTATCGACATACAAAGGCTCGCCGAATGCTGGAGTGCACTTTTGGAATTTTAGCTAACAAATGGAGGGTTTTGCACAGACCATTAGATGTCAGCATCGGCTTCTGCGACTGCATAATTAAGGCATGTTGTGTACTTCATAATTTTGTTCGCTGTAAGGATGGCATACGTTTTGTTGATACTTTACGTATATGAGTGTCCTCTTGAAAGTACCGTTGTTAATAACGTACGAAATTGTGGAACCAATGTTAGGAGTTTCTTGTCGAAGTTTTTCATTTCACTTCAAGGATCAATACCAAAGCAATACGAAAAAATGTAATAGGCAGGTCGTGTGAAGACAATAAACATTTTACCAAGAATGACAGATTTGGT